CTTAGGTGTACGTGGCTGGCGCCTTAGCCGGTTGAGCTATAGGCGCCGAGCCAATTTCTTTTTCTTTTGAGACAGTGTCTTACTCTGCCCTGTTGCCCCAGGCTAGAGTGCCATTCTGTCAGCCTAATTCACAGCAACCTCAAACTCCTGGGCTTGAGTGATCCTCTTACCTCAGCCTCCCAAGTAGCTGGGACTACAGGTGTGCCCACCACACGTGGCTAATTTTTCTATTTTTTTTGTAGAAATGGGGTCTTGCTCTTGCTCAGGCTGATCTCAGACTCCTGAGCTCAAGAGATCCTTCTACCTTGGCCTCTCAGACTGCTAAGATTATAGATGTGAGCCACCTCACCCAGCTGAGTATTACAGTTTTAATACAGTTTTTTCCTTTTTTTTAAAAAAAATATGTGTATGCATATATATATCTGTATATATATATTTGGCACACTCTGTGTGTGTGTACTTTTTTGTGTGTGATTGGCTTCTTTCACTTAGCTTATTCTTTCACTATAGGTTTTAAGGTTCATCTGTGTTGTAGCATGTCAATGTGTCATTCATTTTATGGTCAAATTTTTTTTTCTATCATGCCTACTTTATTTATTAGCTGGGTTATTTACCCCATATTTTGTGTATGTGCATGGGGTAGAAGTTCAGTTTTGCTACACTGATATATTATTGCATTGTGATGTAGTCAGGGCCTTCAATGTATATGTCATTGGAACAATGCACATTGTACCCACCGAGTAACCTCCTATCATCTGTCCCTCCCCCTGCTTCCCTCCATGTTGTTATTGTTCATGATGCCACACTCTGTTTGTATGTGTACACAGCATTTAGTTTATACTTATAAGTTCAGACTTGTGGTATTTGTCTTTCTGTGTATGAGTTGTTTCACTTAGGATAATGGCCTCCCAGTTCTATCCATGTTGCTTCAAAGGACATGATTTGATTGTTCTTTTACTGCTGAATAATTCTACTGGGCATGTATACCACATTTTCTTTATCCAGTTCTCCATTGATGGACATTTAGATTGATTCCATATCTTTGCTTTTGTGAATAATGCTGTGATAAACTTAGAAATATGGGTATCTTAATGTATATATTGATTTCTTTTCTGATGGGTAGATACTCAGAAGAGGGATTACTAGCTCACATGGTAGTTCAATTTTTGGTTCTTTGATAAATCTCTGTATTATTTTCCATAGAGGTTGCACTAATTTATGTTCCCACCAACAGTGTAGTGGTTAGAGTTCCCCCCTTTTTCATGTCCTCATCAACATATGTTATTTTTTGTCTTTTTTTTTTTGAGACAGAGCCTCAAGCTATCCCCCTGGGTAGAGTGCCGTGGCATCATGCTCACAGCAACCTCCAACTCCTGGGCTCAAGTGAGTCTCCTGCCTCAGCCTCCCAAGTAGCTGGGACCACAGGCGCCCGCCACAATGCCCGGCCATTTCTTGGTTGCAGCCGTCATTGTTGTTTGGCGGGCCTGGGCTGGGGATTCGAACCCGCCACCTTAGGTGTATGTGGCTGGCGCCTTAGCCGCCTGAGCCACAGGCGCCAAACAATGGGAGCTATTTACAGAATTGACTTAAGATGATTTGACAGTATGAAGTTATTGAATTTATTGTAAGAATTTTCAATCTGGAAGAGACCTTTGAGGAACATCCAAAATTTTCAAGTTTTAGAGAAGAGAAGGCAAGGGAAAATGATTTGCTTAACTGGCATTGAATTAGGGATCTCATTAGAATGAGAACTGTAATCTCCTGATATCCAGTCTATTTTTCATTTGACGGCCTGTATGGGCTGGACAGTGTACTTCCCCAAATTCTTGTCCATGGGGAACTTCAGAATGTGACCTTTTCTGGACTAGTATCTTTGCAGATGTAGTCAAATTAAGATGATGTCATACGCAGAGAGGACCTTAAAACAGGTGGTGTTTTATGAGAAGGAAAAACATGAGAGATGTACAGGGAGAATGCAATGTGATGACAGGGGCAGAGATTAGAGTGATGCAACTGTAACCAAGCAATGCCAAGGACTGATTGCTGCTATTAGGAGGTACAAAGAGGTAAGGAAGGATTTTCTCCTGCACCTTCAGAGGTTTGGTTGTCCCCTGATTTTGGACTTACAATACATTTTTGTTGTTTTAAGCTACCTACTGTATAGTACTTTTTTATAGCAGCCTTTGGACACTATGATACAGTGTCCGATGCTACTTCTTTTAATGTAAAGAGGGTTTTCACCTTAGCATCATTTTGGGGGGCTTTTTTGTGTTTATTTATTTATTCTTTATGTATATATATATTTATTTTTATTTCCTTGTTTTTTAAATTTTTCATTAATGTGAGGTACTCCCTTAGTATAATTGAAAAATTACTTAGAAAATTCCATTCTTCATAATTGAAGGAAATAGATTTTTCTGTTGCATATATCAGACTTAACTTTTTAATTCTTCAGTGTGCTTAGCTATTCTTTGATATCATTTAGGAAGTTACGATATTATTCATCCTGGGATTTTCAGGGAGGTGTGTCACTAGGAGATTTTACTTTTTTTCTTTTACAGGAATAATTAATAGTCATAGGTATATCACATATAAAGTGTGTGTGTGTGTGTGTGTTTGTGTGTGTGTGTAGCCTTATGAATTTTCTATTACATGATATTCTAAATATTCTACCTTTGTTTTCAGATTGCTGAAGCTGAAGGAAATGTTCAATTCTAAGTTTGGATCTATTCCCAAGTTTTATGTTCGAGCCCCAGGAAGAGTCAATATAATAGGTATTTCAAAAGTTTCTTTTCTTAATTTTTTCTTCCTCCTTTGGTAAAATTTCAATCAAATGTTAATAAACATTCAATATATGTTAATGTATTTTTTTCTTAACTTTCCCAGAAATAGAATATTTCACATACCTTTACTAATATTAAAGTAGGCTTTTGCGTAAGGAGCACATTTTAATTTTATCTTTCCAATCCATATTATTAAAGTTGTCCAGTTATTATTTAAATGAATAAATTTATTAAAACTTGTTTGTTAACATTGTTTTTATGGAAAATGAAAATATTTTTGTATCTCACATGTTAAAACTTTAGATTGTGGTAAGTAGCTTTGATGGTTTTACATTTACTCACCAGGTTAGTGAAACACTGGGAAATGTTACAATTCATTGTTATTAAGTGTATGGTCCATATTTTGCAGGTCTTTTAGATATACCATAGAGCCTCCATTGTTGATCACTTCCCTACATTGACCACCTCCTTAAGGTGGCCAGTTCCTGTTTAAGTTCAGATCATGAAGGTCAGGGTGCCTGCCAGCTAACACTTAAAATTTTGAAAGACATCAATTGTGTTTATGTGTTTGCTGATTTAGGGCATACTTAATTAATATTTGAGGTATTGGCCAGGCCCAGTGCCTCATGCCTGTAATCCTAGTACTCTGGGAGGGTCAGGTGGGTGGATCCCCCGAGCTTAGGAGTTCAAGACCAGCCTGAGCAAGAGGGAGACCTTGCTGAGAGCTATAAGGCCATAGCACTCTACCAAGGGCGACAAAGTGTGACAATCACCAAAAAAAAAAAAAAAAAATTGAGTAGTTGAATTCAGTCTTAGTTTTTTTTTTTGTCATTCTATTTTTGCCTTTCCTTATGCTCTTTTTCTATCTGGAATACTTTTACTCCATTTCCTAGTCCGCATGCCCAACTTCTGCTTATTATTTAAGACCCTGTTCAAAAGACCCTACAATGAAAGATGGCCTGGACATTATGATATGTATTCCTTTTTTTGAGATAGTATATCATAAAGTTCATTTTTGCATTAAGCCAGACCATTAGAAAACTTTGCAACAAATGCAGCACTTGGCTTTTGGAAGAATTGCTTTACTAAATTGTGCAATTTTTGCATGTGGTTTTATTTTCTATTTGAAGGATGTAGGAAATCAACCACATAGGAATCATTCTTTTGCTGTTGTTGTTTTTTTAATTCTTTGCAATCAAAAGAGCACAACAAAAGCAAAATGACTCATTTGGCCAGTTCAAGTAAAAGGGAGCTAATAGGTTATGTAATCGGTGCTAATGAGGGAGAGAAAGGATATTATACAAACAGGAACCAAAATACAAGTGGTCTTTGTGGAAACTTGAACTAAGTCAGAGGAAGTGCTAAAAAACTAAGTAGCAACAATTTTTGGATTTTCTCTCATGTTTTCTGCGTTTAGATGGTTAACGACCCACTCTGTCCTTACTATCTTTATGTATTTTCTTGCTTTTCTTCACAACATCAGATGTCTCTGTCACCCTCCACTCTGGGTATTTCCTCTCTTATTTTCTGCTTTATAAATTAAGACCTCTTGTTTGTGGCCCTCATTGGACCTATATCTTTGTGCCTCCTTCTACTTCACTTTCTAACAATATCAGCCTTATCCACGTCATACTTCCTAATTTAGACTCATGAACAAATTTTATTCTTGTCTGGGTAGTGTTTTCATAGCAAACAGGGCTGTTTCTTAATTATTGGCCATTTTTTTTTTTTTTTTGAGACAGAGTCTCACTAGCTCGTTTTCAGTAGAGTGCTGTGGCGTCACAACTCACAGCAACCCCAAACTCTTGGGCTTGAGGGATTCTCTTACCTCAGCCTCCCAAGTAGTTGGGACTACAGGTGCCTGCCACAAGGCCCAGCTATTTTTTTTTTGTGGCAATTGATTAGCTGGCCCTGGCTGGGTTCAAACCTGCCATCCCCTGTGTATGTGGCTGGCGCAGTAACCACTGTGCTACAGACGCTGAACCTCATTGAACTTTTAATCAGTGATGGTTTTGACCATGCCTCATTTCCTGGTTGAAATGATTCTACCTATAGCTTTCTGTTTAAGGAAGTCATATTGTGCTGTGCTTGTGCAGAAACAGGCAAGGTGGGAATCTGATTCAAATGTGGCTTAGTCACAGAATGCTATGGTAGTATTAACCTATTTAAGAATGGGGAAGTAGGGAGATCTTCCCTAGGAAGATGAGATGTGACAGCAAGATTTTAAATTAAAGAAACTTATGTAGATGAAGGAAGAGTTATGGGAAAAGGAAAAATACATTTGCTTTGGAGTGGATAGATGTAACTGGAAGCTGACTTAAGGATTGTCGTAGTCTTGAATCTGCAAGTAGTTCAGTATGGCTGGATTGTAATGTGGGGATTGTGGATAGGGTAGAGAAGGAGAGAAGTTGATGGATTCAAGAAACATTACTAAGTAAAAGTGATCCGTTATATGTTACTCTGTTTCTGTTTTTGGTTGTTTTTGTGTATGTAGAGCAGGGACTGAATGAAGAATTCCATGTTTGAACAACTGAGTAAATAGTAATATTGTTTTATAAGCTAGGGAATTCTGAGAGAGGTGTAGATTTGAGGAAGAGTATTATGGGCCTAATTTTTGGTTTGAAATACCTTTGGCTATCCAAGAGAGACATATGGATATGTGCTCTGAAGCTTGGTGAGAGAAACATGGGACTGAAGGTATAGATTTGGATCAAGGTTATATGTAATACAGCTGATAATTGAAGCCCTTTGGATAGGTTAAGGTACTTAGGAAAAATCAGAGTGCGAAGGATGGGATCCTTGGGAACAGTAATACTTAACAAATGAGCAGAAGAAACCGGTCCCTCGGAGAGAATGAGGATGAAAAATCAGACGAGGAGGAAAACCAGGAAAGAACATGTCTTGAAAACTAAGGAAAAAGACCATGTTAAGAAAGAGGCATGTTCCAAGTGGAAGAGTCAAGAGTCAAGTGGAAGGCAGAACATGCCCACAAGATTTTACCAAAAGGAGATCTTTTATTTATTTTTCCATTCAGTAAATTTGTTGTATATCTTCTTTGTGGTAGGTGTGATGCTAGCTCTCATGAGAGTCAAAAAATATAGTCCTTACCCTCACAGACTTTACAATGGCAATTATGATGCAGTTATAAACACTTGAACAGTATTATTTTCAGACTGTTTCCAGCAGAGTCCTGGGAGTTTCTTGGTGTTTGCTCAGGGACTGCTCTTATAAGTAGGGGTACTGACCATGCAAAGCACTCAACAAAAGGAGCTTCTTATTTTATTTTATTTTTTACTTATTTTACATCCCCTAATATTTCATTTGAACAAAGACAGCTGCTGCTAAAATATATATTTTTCAACTTTTAATAGGGACATATAAGGCGCAATAAATTCTATAGGAAGGATATATAATCCAGACTTGGAGGGACCAGAGAAGTTTCATGGGGAAAGTTACAAACAGTGACCAGAAGGATGAGTAGTTTTTATCAAGAGAAAGAGGGATAGGGAGCTGAGAAAAATCCATGGGTTAAAGGAGGATTAAAAAAAAACAAAACAGGGTGGTATCTGTGGCTCAAAGGGATAGGGCACTGGCCCCATATACCAGAGGTGGTGTGTTCAAACCCAGCCCTGGCCAAAAACTGCAACCCCCCCCCCCAAAACAAAACAACCCAAACAAGTTTTTATAATAGAGACTATAAACATTAAACAGTAGTTGGGATAGTATAATGGACTCCCATATACCTGTTGTACAGCTTCAATTATTATCAATGCAATCTTATTTTATTTTAAGGCAAATAATGGAAGACTTAAAAAATTTGGGGTTTTTTAACATGGTTAAACGGTGGGGGTCAAAATGGGATAAAGTTAGCTGAGAGGAAGAAATCAAGGATACTTGAGATGGGAGGAACTGGTGTAGCAGCTTCCTGAGGAGGTAAGAAGGGTTAATGTCAAGCATAGGAAAAGACTCTGAAAAAATTTATTTAAATTGATAAATGATTGTGAATATTTATGAGGTACAGTGGTATTCTGATGCATGTACACATAATGATCACCTCAAACATTCTTTGTGTTGGGAAAGCAGTCAAAGGTCTCTCTTCTAATGTTTGAAAATGCATAATAAATTATGCATGTACTGTAGTTACTGTACAGTGCTATGAACTCTAGAACTTATTCTTCTTATCTTGCTGTAATTTTGTATCTGTTAACTAATATCTCCCTAACTCTCACTTAAAACTACCATTTCCAGCCTCTAGTAACCATTATTTTACTCTATTTTTATGAGATTAACTCTCTTAAACTTCCACATATGAGTGGGAACATGAAGTATTTTTCTTTCTGTGCCTGACTTACTATGTTTAACATAAGGTCTTCCAAGATCATTCATATTGCTGTAAAGAGTAAGACTTTTACTGTTTTATGTGGTTAAGTAAATATAAATAACCAATATAAAATCACCTTTTAAAAATCCATTCATCTGTCAATGGACACTTAGGTTGATTCTTTATCTTGGCTATTGTGAATAATGCTGCAATAAATATGAGAGGCAGATATTTCTAGGACTTACTCATGTCCTTTTCATTGGAAGAACTGCTGGATCATATGGTGGTTCTATTTTTGGTTTTATGAGGTGCCTCCAGAGTCCAGGCGTCCTCAAACTACTGCCCGCGGGCCACCTGCAGTCTGCCTAGGACATTTATCTGGCCCGCCAGGTGTTTTTGCCACTGCTGCCTGTCCTGCTTAGCAGCCGACTCCTCCCGGGGCCTGTAGTCCGGCCCTCCAACGGTCTGAGGGACAGTGAACTGGCCCCCTGTTTAAAAAGTTTGAGGACCCCCTGTTCCAGACTGTTCTCCATAATGGCTATACTAATTTACATTTCCACCAATAGTGTGTAAGAGCTTTTTTCTTCACATCCTCATTGGCATTTTTTTCATTTTGATAATAGCCATTCTAAATGAGGTGACATGATATCCTATGGTTCTGATTTGCATT